ATTACGGAATTTCACTCCGGTAGCAGAGATGGCTGGCCAGAGCGTGTTGCAGCTTGCTGGAAACAAAATTGTTCTATTCTACAATCACATTGTTCGGTTGTTCCGTTATAAGTACGATTAGAATATTGGTGATAATCATAGTAAGAATATTCATGAACTTGCACAAAAGGACAACGACTGAGTTGAGTATTTGTCAGTAGTCCACTCATAAATGAATTCCCTTTAGTAATGTTCTGCACTAACTGTAACCATCGTATGAATGTACCGACAGTTATCTGCTTAAAATTCTGAATAATGCTTTCAGCCTTGGATTGAACTAATCTCTGTGAAATGGCAGGGACCGAAATAAGTCTTGTTGATTTCAATGTTATTTCAATTTTGATTTTTCAATGCAATTTTTGCAAAAATATTTTTTGGTTTAACAGCGCAACAAAAACGATTCAATGGACCAGCCCGTGACAGTGTTTGCAGAACACCGCATGAAGTTTTATGGTAACTACACGAGTGATATATTATGCATGAAAAACGATGGTCTTTTCTTGCGTTTTATCGCAAAATTTTTTATTCTTGCAAAAAAAACGCAGAAGAAAATTCATGCGTGTGATGTTATGTGAGACACAGAAATTTGACATGGGCAAGATTGTTTCTCCTCGAAAAACCGTGAAAACTAATTTGGACAAGCAGATTTCTATTTTTATAGTTGTTGTTTCTATTTTTTCTTTAAAATTTTTGAAAAATTCGAATAATCAATCCTGAAAGTTTCTAGTGGTACTCTAGAAACTCTTTAGGGATCCTATAAATCTTGCCATTGAATTCTGCATGCTCTTTTATACTCGGCTATTTTTAGTGAATTCTGTCGAAAAGTAAAAAAATCACTTGGCCGATTATAGGTGAAAAGCTCGTTTTTAAAACAAATTTAATGTCTCAGCAAAAAAAGAAATTCACAAAGTGATTCTATAACTTTATTCTACGTTTGACGGCGGTTCTAATGGCATAAGAATGAAGGGTCTATCTCTCGACTTGATGGCGTTGATAGGCTTGCAAGCGGAAGGTATCTAATTTGAGGTCTTTAAAGTATGACGAGAAAGGGAGCAATTTTCATGCCTGTCGAACCTTCAAAGATAGTCTGTGATATGCAGTTTTTCACAGTTATTACGAAAAACACATTCCAAAGGTTCCACGACTTGGTGGAGCCGAGATATTGCATGTTTTTCGAAACGTTGGAATTTTTCGAAAAATGGAGGCGTCTATTTTTGTGATTTTTTTCTCGGTGAAAACGCGCACTAATCATTTTTGACTAATATATTCGTGATCAGCGCAAAATTCTGCGTCGAGTGAAGTATATTTGAGCGAAAAATAAAATACTGCTCGACGTTTGAATTTGGAGCGCCTTGCACAAGTCACTTTTTTAGGGCATTTCCAGTGACGCTTAACATGGTATGACGAAGGTCGCTTTTTATTTAATGAAATCTGAATCTAGCTTCTGGTTGAAGCCATCCGAACATTGCCGTCGCTCATTCGTTCAAGTGAAAAAAAGTATGCGACTGTTTGGAATCATATTTGTTTTACTTTCACACATATCAGTTTTGTAGAGAAAAAAATTCTCTACAAATCTGTAGTATTAAAAAAAGTTTTTTACATTGTCTTCCGTGCAAGGATAAGAGAATTCGAGAAATCCTATAGATTGTTATGAACTGTTGGTATGAGCATGGTAGAGGACCAAGTAAACTTTCTGCAATAGAACAACTGCTAAAACAGCATTTCGAGTGTAGTTTACGACGGCCTTTCTAACAATGTATTTAAGGTTTGTAACAGTGCATTTAAAATTAAAATTTTACTAAAAGTCCGAGAAAGGAAATCTTTCAATGTCAAAAATTTCGGGTATGCATTGAAACCAGTGGTTATCATTTTTTTTCGAAAAAGAAACTGCACTAAAAAGTAGCTTATCTTGTAGAGCACAATTTTCTCTCTCGAATGGTATCTCATGGAATACATTTGAAGTTAAAATGAGTCCGCAGTGCGCGGTGGAAAAAAAGTGGTTGGATAATTTTGATGCGTGAAAAATTTGATATATGTTTTTTTTGTTTTAAGGGCATTCCGTAGAAATGCTGTGAAACAAAAACTAAAAGTCGCTAGAACTTCGTATTTTCAGAACTGTTGAAAACTCAATGGAGCACTTCTTGGTTTTTGTTACAAATTTTCAGCTATTGTCGTTCATCAGTTCTTCAGAAAACCCGGTTTTTCACTGTGTCCCATTACGACCCCCCTTAAATTTCGTCCGATCGAGTTCAAAATTTTACCATAGATACTTAAGGTCATTCTGCAGGGGTAAAGTTTTGAAATTTTATTTTAGACTTTTTTTTACCGAGTTATATGACTTCTAAAATTGAATAACTTGGTTTTTAAGAAGTTTTTCAGTATTTTTCGTATAATTCGGTAAAGAAAAGTCTAAAATAAACTTCTAAAAATTTACCTCTGTAGAATGCCCTTAAGTATCTATGGTAAGGGGAGAGTACCCTTAATAAAAAATGAACAATACGAAGTTCTGATGGAAGGCTAACCACGAACATACTAGAGATGATGGGCTACAATATGGTAGAAATCGCAGGTATCTAGCCACTTTCATCTCTGAAATATAAAACGAACAAAATTTTTTCATTAGGTGATTGGACAATTTTAACAGCTACTGTATATCACAGGTGACATTCAAAACGTTGCTGATTAGTTCTTTTAAAAAGGTTATCGAAAAAGTATTGAACATTAGCTATCCAGGAACGACGTTGAAACCGATATAAGCGATCATTTAAAGAAAGAAATGGCTTATATTTTCGTCCAGCTGAAATTTCAGTATTTGGCCATTGTTGTAACTCACGATAAAGTGTACTTAGCAAAGCAGTTATTATTGTAATAGCTAACTCCTTTCCTTTGCATATTCTTCGTCCTTTTCCGAATGCTATACATGTATTTATTTCAGAAATCGAAGATTCATCGTAATTTCTATTGGATATGTAACGATTAATGTTGCTAATAATTGAATCCTTATTCATGCATTGGACTATATCAGTCACTTGAATGTGAACAACATGCGTATTACTAAAATGATTTCTTGAACACGGTGTCAAATCTTTACCGTCTTCTTTCGAAGGAATTTCACGAAAAATTGCTTGAAGTACAGGATAATGATTAGCAGTTGTTATGATCGAATATCGCATTATGCCAGAATCACATGATATTTGCCTTATGAGATCAGTATTACCTAATGACAAATCAGTCATTAGATTTGATGCAACCTCAATAATTTCTAAAATTGGTGTAACAAATAGCTCCATAGCAATTACAGTACATATTTCTTGCGATGTAAGATTAAAATCCGATTTGAGTGATTCTACCATTGGTTGATCTGGAATCTGTTTCATAAATGAATTGCATAGAGATATTCTATTGGACCAGTCAGGGTCACAATTGTTAGTGAAACTTGCACTTATCGACTGGGCCAGTTTGATGATAGACTCAAGATCCGATTGATGTGCCTCCAAACTAAACACCAACTCCCACATGATAGCACACACGAATTCTTGCAACCTTTCATTCGATACTATTGGTGGCTTTGTTTCACATAGCATCAGCTCAGCAGCGAGTTTTTCGGCATACTTAATGGATACCTGTTCTGAACGTGACACAATTTGGTTGCGATTAAGAATGTAAGCAAAACATGCATACATTCGCTTCCAGCTTTCAGATTCTGTACCCGTCAAATCAAGAGGAAGCAAAGGAAAGACCATACTAGAGACAAAGTAAAATGAACGTTGCGGACGAATAGGCAGACATATTAACCTATCTACGACGGGCATGTCAAAGGTGCCGTTAACAGATGCGATCGCGTGACATCCAAGAGGTGTAAAATCGATTTTAGATTTCTTAAAAATGTTCATCGCAATAAGCCGTGATATCCATACCAGGCGGAAAATTGCACCCAAAACGCCAAATTGGATTCGAGGAACCAGTCGAGAATTCCAGTTCCAACTTGCGATCAGTGATAACCATAATAGACTTATGACAAAGAGTGTTATTATGAACCAAACCGAACTTGATAAAGCTAGTAAAGAGGTCATCACTGAACCAACACCAAATTATAATAAGAATATAGAAAAATAGAGCACCTTTTGCCTAAATAATAAGAGAATGAACAAATGCAGAAGAAATAAGTCAAAAGAAAAAAAAGCGTTATTTGAACGAGGCTTAAAGATTTCGGTTGGGTGGCATTGAAACATGCTCAAAACTAACCTCTAAGTAAGTGCTTAATGCTCCAAGTGCTTTATAATGTGTTGAATCAACATTATCGAATTCACGCTTCTAGCGTTGATCGAAGGGAGGCGTGAGTTTCGCTGTACACTTATAAATGAGGTGTTGGGCAACACATTGATGTGATCACTTACGAATGAGAGAAACTTGCATTGTTTTACATTTATTTAATAGCCATAAATAGCTGTTGTGTACAGAATGGAGCATTAATACATGCCTCATGGCTAAAGTCAATGGATAGAGCGTACTGCAGATGAACGGTATTAGGTTAACTTCTCCCAATATAGTCAGCCATAGCGTCAAAATCGCCTAACTTTTGCCGATTTTGAGGTAAAATTGTGATTAATCGCAATAACTTGCACGATTAACCGGCGATGTTTTTTGCTTGTTATCATAGAAACACAGCAGTAAAATCGCGATTAATCTCAATTTTATCTCAAAATTGCGATAAATCGGCAAAACTTAGGCGATTTTGATGCCATGGGCAGCCACTAGTCATTAGCTAACCATTTGACAGCTCACCCCACTAAAAGAAAAATTACTATCCATAAAAACTGACTAGGCATTGCTTAGGTAGCTCCAGAACTGTGCAAATATTTACGAAGTTTGTATGTTTCTGATGATGTTATTTGTGATAAAGTTACTTGTCTGCACAGATGCATATCGGTTTCCGCTGACTTTCTGGAAAATCAAGGTTGTAAGTTAACAACAGTCGGGATTAGGTGGTTCCATGCTAGCAGAAATGTATCTAATGTACTTTTAAATAGAGCAATGCAGTTACCTATTGTCTACAAACTGATGAAAATGCAATATTTTTCCTTTTGTCTACAACGGTGTTCCAAAAACATCCATGTCACAATTAACTTGAGAGTAGTATATACTGTGATCGAATATTGTTATACTTTCCCTTTGCGACTTTTCTCAGAAACATCCAATTCATGACAATGCAATAGAAATAAAACATTTACTTTGTTGGTCTAATTGAATGAGGTTTATGGCTAGAATGTTGGTTGTTATAAACTACCATTATAATTCAATTAGGTGCAATTACTAATGAATGCATTAGAGAAACTCTCCTTGGGTTTTTACTTTAGACATAAGATTATATTCTGACTCTTATTCACTGAAGGTTGTATTTTGTTATTTGCATTTTTCTATTATATATTACACGTTCTACACTATCACTTTGACGTATGGTAGATAAAGAATAAGTAATTACAAAACCTTGGATATTTGCCTTGAATAAATATGTTTCTTATATCTTCGAAAAGGATTTCTCATTAAGAAACAATCCTGCTTTTTATAGCCTTGACAGTAAGATAGACTAATTATGTAGAATATTATTTTATTTCTATACGAGTAATTCTGTATTGCTAAGATTATTTATAAACCGTTTGAGTAATTAAATTATTTAAATACCTAAAAGAAAAGAAACGGCCACGAAATGCATCACAAAAAGTGCAATAATATTGGAAAGCCTCAAATGACAGAACGTAATTGCGATTTTCCAATTCTTTAAGAAAATCTACTTACTACTCTCTAAAAAAAAGGCTCCATACTAAACCATTAAGGTGTGGTGTATTGCTTCGAAACTATTTATGGTTTTGTAGCGAAATTTCGAAATTCAGAGGGTTTGTTAGATGGTACGAAACCTCAAAACAAAATTTTTGGACCGGCATAGTTCGGTGGTTAAGTTGTTCGACTCATACCCACAAGGTACTCTGTTCGAATCTCAGCGTCACCCAGATATGTAATTTCTTTCGGCAAATTACTCACGGTCTATTGCCTCGGATTACCCGTCCGATAGCGACCTCACTATATTGTGGTACACGAGAGAGGATATATACCCCTCTAATGCACGATGTTATCGCACGATGTATGCATTTTTTCATGATGTGGAGGAGGTCCAGTTATCCTTAGAAGAGAGGCATCTTTGAGACAGATAAAGGTTACACAGCCGGATGTATAGAGACACGTTTCTAAATTTGTGTTGAACATCATTTGACGTATTTCTATTCAAGTCATAGATGATCTTCTTTTTGATCCATTCATTGCCTGCGATCTTTTATAACCTTGTATTAAGCTTTTGATGATCTCGTACTCGTTTAGCTACCGTTTTTCTGATATTTGTGCCGAACCTATAGTAGAGCCCAGAAATAAGAAGATTTGTGTATTCCAGATTATCAGATCACGGTACAAATACGTGGTAAACATATCGACGATGATTTCAATTATAGAAAAGGCCGACCGGTATTTCTTCAAATCAGTGATTAGCATAACCAAGCCCCATCATTTTCCATTTTATAGTCTGGCACTCATTAGAACAAATTCATATTGATTTACCAACAAAATAAATTGGTTTACATCATCTAAAAGAAATACAATGGCTTCATAAATCGAAATCTTCTACCGATGATTTGATATTTTACTTGTCAGTATGCTATGAAATAGAGCACCCTACGTATCTTCTGTCGTAGATAATAACGTTGAATGCTGCGCATTCGATGCAGTTTGTCATGATGATTCCGAATATCACGTCCATTTTGATTGAATATAAACTTTTTGCAGTTAAAACTCAAAATATGACCTCATTTTTCGGCAATTTTGCCACTAGTGTGGAAAAAATGGGTTTTCTCAACAACGCTAAGAAAGAAAATTAAAAGGATTTATAACGTATAGACACGCGACGAAATGGAAAAGAAAATATCTTGTAGCTATTCATTTCTGTTTCATTTTTACGAACTTTCATTTATCACGAAAGTGTCTAGATATATTTTCAAACAAAGTGAAAGTGACTAGACAAACTTTCACAATTTGTGAAAGTATGAGTCATTCTTCCTTTTGACATGTGTATGAGGCCTTATATTTTACTGGAGCCCTGAACAAGGAAAAAAAGAAATGTCAAAAGTTAGAAGGAACATTTATAACTACTGTTACATTTTTCTGGGTCCTGCTTCTCTCACTCTAGCTCCTTCGAATAAATTTTCTCGGTTTGTAAAAAGTTTTGTCTAAACCGTTTGAATGTCTACTACTACCACGCCATCTCCTACATCAGTGACACAGCAAGTCACTTCTCCATCTCCACAAACGAGTTCTTCTTTTCATTCTACTTTAACAAAGCGTCCAGCAGTTAAAAGAAAAAGACGCTTAGTCTGGACATATTTTTCGGAAAATAACAATGAATTATACTGCGCGTTATGACAACAAAAACTCGAACATAATACGAAGACGACTGGAGGCATGATTTATCATTTATCCATACATCATCCCAAGGAACATGCGCTTTTTCGTCAACAGCAGCCAAACAGACAAAGAACAAATGGAGCAGTTTTACCTTTAGATCATGCTCGATCTAAAGAACTTTCTCATTTACTATGTGAATTTGTTATACGTGATTTAGAGCCCCTAAGTTTTACAGAATCGAGTGAAACATTGAAGAAACTCATGAGACAATTGGAACCATCGTATTTAATTCCTACACGAAACTATTTTCGTGATAATATAATTAAAAATCAATATGAAAAAGTGAAACTAGAATTACAAGAGCAAATGAAAGAGGCCGGATTCATTCAATCACGACAGACATGTGGACATCAGACAATAAAATCAACTACATTACGGTTACAACACATTTCGTTGATAATCACTACATATTACAAAATAAAGTTATAGAAACGTTGGATTATAACAATGAACATAATGCAGATAGAATTAAAGAACGAATCAGCAAAACACTGGTTGATTGGAAATTATTGGATATTGTTATTTGTGTCGTTTCTGATAATACAAACACCATGATAAAAGTTGGACGAGATCTACATCTAGGCTGGATTGGCTGCTTTTCACATTTATTACAGACAGTAATTGGAGAAGGTTCAGCAGTTCCAGATATACGAAAACAGATCTCTTCTGTAGGCAAATTTTTGTTTTAATCAGTAATCTATTCTTGAGTTCTTAGAACAACAAGAGAATAAAAAAGGCTCATACAGAAAGAAGCTTCGAGGAGAAGGAGGCATCAGACCTAACACGATGAAAAATTAAAAACTTTAAAAATCAGTTTACAAACGGAGACCGCAATTTAGCTCATTTTTCTGGTCGTCATAATTCTTTAAAAAACTTTTTTTAAAGTTTGTGTTCTTAATAAAAAAGGTCCAAAGCTTTTTTGGAACCTAAATTTTTTCTATAAATCTGCCATGGTGAATCCAACAACTTTTTAAGATGTCAGAACTGATCTCTCCATCTCCACGTCAATTGTGACAGATAGCAGTTACCTGATCAAAGTCAGAAGTCACGCAATAAAGAAGGCTCGGTCCGATCTCTTTCACTGAATAGTGCTAACGCCTAACTTTGCGAAACCTCTTTACTCCTCGTTTTTAGCCTTCTGCAAACAGTTCTTGGACAAAAACTCGAAAAAGGTCTGCATTTTCTAATAAAAGAATGGGTATGACGAGCCTTTTTCACTGCTCCGGATCTTTGTTTTTAAATAGGTTGGGAAAATTGTGTCACATGTGAGAAAGAGCTATAAAGCTAAGCAAGATCTGTCAACTGCACAAACAACCCTCGCTTTACCTACAATGGATCTCGTCGAAGATGTCTGTACTAGATGGAACAGCTCATATTACATGATAAAACGTTTCGTTCAAGAAGAATTGCCACTGGTATTATGTTTTACATATCCACACTTCGTTCGACGGTTAAAAGACACGAGTATTATAACGAGTATCGATTTCGATCTACTGAAATTGTTATTACATTTATTTGAACCATTAGAAGAAATTACACGGGCCATCTCATCGGCAACAAATGCCACAGTTTGTTTAGTTCTACCATTTTTAACAGTTATATTAAATTTGCTTGAACTAGATTCGACAAAAATTGATACTATGAGACCGGCTATGCTTGAACAAATGAAGAAATGGTTTTCAAACGCATTTTCAAATAAATATTATTTACTTGGAACGATTCTCGATCCTCGTTTTAAACAATTCACATTCGCTCAACTGAATTTATTTCAACAAAATGGTACAGTGAGAAAAACTTTACAAAAGTGGAAAGCTTACGAAGCGATGACCTTGGCTGAAAAACATTTAAACGATGAATTCATAAAATTAACAACACCGATGTTCTCAGCAACCACAACAAACTCTTCATCTCTCTCAACTCCTCTATCATCAAGTTCAGTTTTATCACAGTTAATTACTCGTCAAAGATCATCTACCTCCAGTGAATTGACTGAATATTTAGCCGAAAATGAATTAAGACAACAAACTTGTCCATTGGTCTGGTGGGGTCAAAATAAATCACGATTTCCGACAATAGCAAAAATTGCCAGAAAATATCTTTGTGTTCCAGCAACAAGCACTCCATCGGAACGTGTATTTTCAATTAGTGGTATCATAACAAGCGATCGTCGTTCTCGATTGTCTCCTGATTGCGTTAACTCAGCTATATTTTTGAACAAAAACTCTCAATTTGAGGATTAAATTCTTTGCTTTACGACGAAAAGAGACGTCTTTTTCTCTCGCGCAGTGATTCTCTTCTTATTTTCGTTGTTGTTACTGTTAGTGCGTGTGCGTAGGCATTTTCAGTGATTAACGCTTAGTGAAAATGGAGTTAAGACAGGTGTTTTGCTTTGTGGGACGCAGAATTTTGTTGTTTTTACATTAATCTGTGATTTATGTTCAAAATTTAGCCAAAAGATCACGTTACTGCAGACCGAAAAGTTGACTGAAATTTGTCTTTGTGTTAACTCCGGAGAAGATAAAAAGCATGAAATGTGAGACAATGATGATGTACCCATAAGCAAGCAGAAAGGAAATATCAGGTGGTTATCAAAATGTATAAAGCATTTTTTTAAAACAAATTTTGTGAAATCTGCAATTTCTTTGCTGTTTGCTTGTTCCTTTTTTCCTCACACGAAACTTTCATTTATTTCTTTAATGTGTCTTACGAATAGACGAAAGGGAAAAAGAAAGAAATATGAAATGTATGAAAGTGAAAGTTTTGCCTTAGCATTTTTTTTTCGTAAGAACGTATGTCATGCTATATATCAAACGTAACAATGAAAGAAAACTATAATAACTAGACACAAGACAAAAAGAACGAAGAAATATAACGTTATTGTTTCATCTCATCTCTAATCTGGACAGCACAAGTATAGTCCACCTGCGTTTTCACCTATACAACGGAAAGAAAAAACGTGAAACAATAATTATTTTGTCCTGTGTGTTTTCATCTTCGGAATATTTTGTTTATTCCGGCTTATTTATTCTAAGAGTAACTTTATGAATCTGCCAGACGTATTTTTTGGTAGACAATGAGTGTATAAAATAATGATCCTGCTAATAAATTATATAAAAACAACGAATAGCCTATTCGTTGTTTTTATATAATTTATAAATATATACGAATATTATTTATCATTGTTGTTGTTACGGTAACAACAATGATAAATAATATTAGTTAATTGTTTTTAAGAATTTTATCCAAAGAACACAAAAAAACTCATGCGTAATGACAAACTCGATCTTTTTATTTCTCTGATGTATTGCAGTGCATATATAAAAAATCTATGTAATTGACAGTTACTTTTTACTTTTTCAATAAAAATAAGAATTATTTTGATCTGTCAAAAACAAGAGAATCAGGATATAGCGAGAAGGATAAATAAAAGAACGAACAAAACAAATTAGCAGCATTTTGTGTTCACACGCTATCGAAAGATGTAAAATGTTTTTTCAGAAGGATATAGATGACCAATAACCATAACAGGAAAAAGAAAAAGTATATTGTGTTTGAAAAAGAATGTTTTGTTAGATGAAAATCAACAAAATCCAATTCTATACGATTGTACGCGTTTATATCTCGTTGTACCAGTCGAACTGATAATCATAGTTTTCAAATCTCTTAAAAAGATTGGACAACAATACTCATTTGGTATGGCTGTTAGAACATTTTCTTCAAAATAAACGAATAACGGTAACCAAATCCTCATTCGTTTTATATCTCGCTGTAAAAACGTTTTATTGTTTGCCAACATGTGATAATAAATAAATAATCTTGACGCTAGAATCCCTGCGATTAAAACATCAATAGAATAATGTTGATGTCCAGCCAATATGAAAAATATGCCGGTAAATGCCATAAGCCATGTTAGCAAATGGAGTAAGTGATATGATCGCGGTGAATATTCGTTAATGAAGTGGGTACTCAATATCAGTGTACAAGTATGTCCAGAATACAAATAATCACCGCAAGTTCGAACACCATAGACCGATAAACCTTGACCAATAAATATGAAAAGGGCTTTTTTTAAACGGGCTGTCATATTTAGTAATCTGTGGGGTTTGCAGTCTGTTATTTTTGTTGCTACTGGTAAAGACGTAAATACCATTGTTAAACCACGTAAAAACAATAATGCAGCAGCTATAATGAAAAATCGTCGAAGAATTATCAGTCTATGACGATGAAACATTATTATAGCCACTAATGTACTAAATTCAATCACAATCATATATTCTGTGACAGTAAATGCCCATTTCATTTGTGGTATATTATCTAATATTAGATCGGGCAGTGGAGGATGGCGTTTTGGATCTGGTAATCGTTCGTCAACAATCACTATTATAAAACTACAAAACATTGCTGCTGCAATAGCTATTAGAAATGCACATAATGTCTTTTTTCGATCACTACGCAATGTCGTTATAATACAACAATTAACATTTTCTCTATCTTCTATATGTTCCGACAGAGTTCTATCACGATGTCCTTCTGTTGAGAATGCAGTTTGTACGGTAGGTGTAATATTACGATCAGTGAATGTTGTTAACGGTACAAAATCTCCCGAAAGTGTACAGTGATTATCGAGAAAACTACCGTTTTCCGATCCACCGATTTGAGGAGGCGGTCTATGAATAGTAACGCTCGGTGGTAAGATATTCAGATTTGACGATACGGTGTTTGAATGTTGACGATTTGTATTTAATAATAATGGGATTGATTGTGTATTAATATTGTTGTTATTCGTGTGATTGGCAGTCGTGTTGTTATAAAATGAGATGCTATGATTTAATGATGATGATGTGACTGGGGCAGAATATGTATTGTTTATTAACTGTTTTTTTGTTTTCAAACTGTCAGATGTTGTTGAAGTAGTTCGAGTGGATACTGACGACGACGGCATTAATATTGTTGCATATTGATTTGATACTTGTTGCTGTTGTTGCTGATAAGTATATTGTCTATGTAAATGATAATTATTTGAGTAGTTTTGCTGTAATTGTTTAATGTGAGACCAAAGTTCTTTATTATCACTATTATTTGGCACTTCTAATTGCAACACATCATTTTCTCGGAGGTTCATCAGTGTCATGCCGTCCATTCGATGCTTACCACATAATAAATGATTATATTGTTGTAAATTATTTTTGATTAACCATTCTTCAACTTGACCAGCGGACCATGTGCAAGGCTCCATGATTAATTTTGATCGTTGTAATAAATAAGTAGATGGCAAATATGATGAATTTATGGCAGAAGATTGTTCTCGTTGATGTTGAGAAGGTGGTGAATACTGGTTTGGCTGATAAAACATCATTAGTTCAACTCTTTATAATGCGTTTAATATAAGTCAAAATATTAAACCCAAAATGTACGACGAATGCTGCACTTAATGTTCACAAAATACGGGACAATGTCTGGAACATTGTAATAAAAAAATAATTGAATGACTCGAGAGTAGAAGAGAAGAGATAATTGTCACTTTAATTAAAATGGCCAGACCCCCACTGTTAGTTCCCTATTCGTTGAAAGTGGGCACCCTGGCGGACATTTCACGAAAATGTTTTTTTTCTAAAGTTTGAACAACGGAATGAATACACCAATATGTGCTCTTTTCCAAAAGGACAGATTTTTATCTAAAAAGGAACATTGGAAAAGTCATGCTAAAGAACTTTGCTTCAAAATCGCTCCGATTCCAAAGATACAACTTTTTCAGCTACTCCAAGCAATTGTTTCATTGGAAAAATTTCCCATGTTTAGGCAATCTAATGGTAAAAAAGTTATTTTGATTCAATTTCAAACCGATGAGAAAAAAATTGTTTTATATGCTAAAACTGTTTCCAAAAAATCATGTTTAAGGATTTTAAGCCGGAATCGCCGTCCCACCTTCAATTTGACCACTTCCGTTGCCCAGAAAGCTACGTATATATGACACATCGGACGACATATGTAAAAAGCTGAGGGAGTCGGTCAAACTCTAGCGGCGGTTCTTCCAAGACTCGTAGTTTTTCTGGCGAAATCTGCTTTATTCCACCTGAAAAGCATTTTTAAACAAAACAAAGGTAGTATTTGGGATCAACTCATCGAGCTGTATCGAAGCATATATCAGACAAACATTGTCAACTGAAAAATTATTTTCCATCGATAAAATCGAGTTTTCGAAACTCACCATACAGGATTTTGGACCGTGCGCTACCATTCCATTTTCAATTTGGCTCAACCGTTGACCAGAGAGCCACCAATCTGTGATAGGTCGGGTGACATATATAAAAAACCGCGGAGATCGATTAAACGCAGTTGCTAGAGGTTTTTCCGAAACGAAATCGGTTTTTCAAAAGATGTGTTTAGTGCAGTGAGAGCGAGAGAGTGAGCGAATGCCTGATCAGACTCAAAATCATATTAAAATGTCCCTTGAAGTGTGCTCTATCCACAGTGAATATCCCAAAATGCCCATATCATTTGAGTTATTGGTTTTCCAAAAAACCTTGGTTTTTTAGGTAAAATGCGGTTTTCTCAGTCTCCGGAACATTTGTATACAGAAATAATGTGATATTTGGAAGCAGTGTATAAAACTACATTGAATGACGTATAAGTTTTTCGACAAAAATCTAGGTAAGAGTCCCTCGTCTAAAAACGTTTTTTTCTGAGTTCCGACTTTTTTAATTTATAATAACATTTGAAACATAATAAATACTGTTGAGCAAAAATAGTCTCTTTCTGCATTAAAAAACCACATATCGCCTGGTCTATAGAAAGGTGCCCACTGTGAAAGCTGATGGAACGGAAACAGAGACCTAGTAATATAGCACTGAGAGAGCTCCGAAACTGTTTAGTAGATCAGAGGGTGAGATAGGCTAACTAACATAGATAATTACTACCCAAGGGCAGTGAAATATGCACCTGATATAGTGATGAAGTGACTCTTGATGTAGGAATATATTTTGTAATAAAATGAAAGGAATAAAATATAAATGAAATCATAAATCAAAAAAACATAGGAGCACAAGGTCTAACTGTGCGCAGATGATGTCGACGAAACAAAAGGGCGGTGTATATATGATAAAGTGTGAGTTTATTCGTCGAAAATGTAGAGATTGAGTGACTAAAACTGTGTATATGGCGACAGAAAAAGACAAAAAGGAAAGAACGGTACAGTCACGTACTAAATGTATGATCATTGAAAAATGAGAAAGAACGAAAACGAACAAAAGGGAAAAAGAAATGGCTGACTATCTCGAAAGGACCATAAGAGCTCGTATAGGACTAGAGATCGAAGAAATGAGAGCTTTGTCTTAACAGGAATCTTTTCTGTACACAATTAGGCTATTACCAGAAAAAGTAACATTCGAATCAGTGGACTCAGTTTTCAAAGGTTTGGGTTTTCCTGAAACCTGAGTTCTAGAAACTTTAATGAAACCTTTATTTGCTATAGACCAGATTGGAAGCTCCATAAGCTATTTAAATCTGTCCGCAGATTCGTTGTAACTATTATCTTCGAGGATGAAACCTAAAAATAAACGTGACCCAGTAGTTCCAAAAACCAGCGTAAATAAAAGTGACAAAGTGAATATATATGTTTGATGGCATACCTTTTAAAAAAACTGATTTGATTGAATTTGAAGCAAATTAAATTCTGCATTTTTCTATATCATAAGTATTTCGGGTCCCATTTTGTGTACAACACTGCATTTCATTCACCAGTTCATAACAGGTCAATATTACTGCATCATTTGGGTATCTAGCCTTTAAATCTGACAAAATTAGCATTTGAATGAATACGTTATACCTCATTCTGCAGCTGTTTCAATTCTGCATCTTTCTACATTTAAACTATGCCTAATCTCTGTCTGTAGAAGAAACTCGAATCATTTTTATGTACCAGTATAGCAAAAACAGTGAGATACCTGCCAAGTATTTGTACAATACAGCTACACAGGCAAAATTTTAAGTGAATACCTTACAGCTCATTTTGTAGCCTGTGAAATATGTGTCAAATTGTCACAATGTTCGAGAAAAACCTTGGACCATTTTCATTTTGTTGTTTTGTGCTTTCTTTCCAACTGCAAAGAGAATAGAAAAATGCGTAGCTATTGTTATTATCATGAAAAGAAAGCTATTTCTCAAATTTGGCGTGAAAGAAAAAGAAAACTTGTGGGTGATGAAGGTGATTGTGAAAGCGATTTTCTTCGCAGTTTTTTCCCAGCTGTTTTTTGTGACTTGAACTTATGATTTTTGAATTCCTTGTGGAAAACTGAGTCCAGCCAAATTAGTTTCAGTCTGCAAACCTTAATGCAAACCTTTCTTTGCAGAAAGAATGTGCAGCTTACTTCATAAGAAAACCGATTCCATCGAATCCGGAGCCCATCTTGAAGCCAGCATTTGCTAGAGCTTCAGGCATGTCGTTGTCTTTTCCGGCAAATCTTCGCGTGAGCTTTTGGTGAATTTCCTTTTGAACCGGATACGGGATGGAAACGAGAACAAAGTCAGCATCCTTTGTTGAAATTCACCGCAAATTCAACACAAATCCAGCGCAAACCCACCCGAAGAATTGAATTGACGAAACAGACAAGAACGCGCTTGAAGATCTAGGACAAGTTGGCTTCAAGCTCGACAAAAGAGTTAACAGGATTTTAGATAGCAAATCTTATCCACAAAACGTTTTTGTTAAGAAAGTAAGGGATTTGATATTGAAGAATTAACACGTCGTAGTATGGAACACCTGATATTTTTTCCAGTTATACGCATTGCATGTTATCATCTGTGCTCAAAGGTCAGACTTAAATTTCTAGTTATGTTTATTTTCGGTGATGCAAGTAGGAGACTGCTTTCCATCGTTTCATGCCTGTCACATTTATATGACTTCCCGTTGTTTGTTGATGTCTAGTCACAGTTCCACTCACTATTAATGTCTGTTGAATGGCAAAAACTTTTTTTTTTTTTATTTTTTTTTTACAATGTTTGACTAAGAATCGTTTTAGTTGACTTCGAAAAGTTCGTACTGTCAGAGTGTAAATATAAAATGCAAAGGAAAGGGAGGAGGATTTCCAAATGACCTACTGATAGTCATTGAGTTCTCTAGAAATGGTTGTTTGTGCACTTCTTTGCACTTTGAGGGTGGGATTTATTTTTTCATATATGATATTTGATAGAAAAACTATGAAAGGCTGCGATTTGGCTATTTCTTCAAGATTTTGCTGCATATTATTCTTATTGAAATACCTAAAATTGATCCAGAGTATTTTTAATGACTTAAGATGCGAGAAACACCGTTTTGTTTTTTAATTTCGTTCAAATCTATCTAAAAACAAGTTCAGCATCCTTAATTTCATTATTTTCTATCTTTTCGGCAATTACCAATCCTTCTTTTAGCTGTTGTTATCGGCCAAAAGAAGGAGTGGTAATTGCTTACAAAATGGCAATGAAGAAATCTAGAAGAAATATTACAAAATGGCACAAAATTTAATCGCTGGCTCCGGGTATTTGCATCAGAATGATAAAGCCACCTCGAATATAGCTCCATTTGTATACTGTGAAACTGTCGTGAGATTATAAATATAGTTTTCAATAAACAAACGAAATGAGCTTTTAACAACGTATTGACCAAGACCATTGTAAAGCAGATAGATGGTGGTTGGTAAACTAAGAATGACATTGACGAGAATTTGAAACAGATGCATTCTTAATAGTTGATAATCTCTTTGTTGTTTCGAACGAGTTATGCTCTGGCTCGTTGGCTGAACTAGTCTGCGACTTTTGTTCAAATTTCTTAGTGTGAGAAGACCGAATACTAACATAAGAATCGGCATTGACAGACCGTTAACAATTACCGAGTAGAAACTGAGAAACAGAGCATATGTGCCCGGTGCATTAAAACAAAGTCGCGATCCATTGGTCGTCTGAATATCATACCATATGAGGTTATGTACACCGACAACGATCCAGAACAGGACCGTTAGAGGAATGAGTCGTTTAGTCGTTTTTCTCGTTGAAAGATTTCTTCGTTGAACTTGACATATATCGATCAATGCATGCAAGTAAGATGTAGGTTCGTGATAACATTAAAAAAACGCCAACATAATAAAATCGAAGTTTACAGAACAACGATGAATATGCCGATGGATCGATCTGAAAACTAACATTTAATCAACGAGTCAAAGAAACCAAATTCAAATAAAATAAAAATGTAAAAGATGAAGCCAAAAAGTACTTGCTACATGGATTGGAACGAAGTTTCTTCTGAGAAAAAACGATCATGTTTAAAATACATCCTGCATTTCCGATTAATAATAAAAATGCAACATAATATCGAAATAG